AACGCAGCTCTTGGGACTGAGCAGGCCACGAGTGCCAGAGGCCCTGAAAGCAAAGAGCCTCTGCAGAGATCAGCAGCGGGACAGGAGGTTAGAGTGGAAGCAGAGGTGGGTAGGGAAGCAGAAAGCAGTGACTGCTGTGCCTATCGCTCTTTCACTCACTCGATTTTCTAGAGCCTCTTGCTGCTGAGCGAGGAGATGGAATTTCTCTTCGATGAGTCTCCTTTCTTCCTCCAGCCTCTCCTCCCTTGCCCTGATCCTAGCCTCAGTTTCCTGCAGCTCTGCCAGCAGCTCTTCATCGGAGGCCTGTGAAGAATGACAGAGAGGAATTTCCATGAGTGGAGTGTCTGCCACACTTTCACTCACCTGGTTTTCTTGATTTCCTCTCTGCCAGGGGAGATTCATCTCCTCTTCGATGCTTCTGTCTTCCTCAGGCCTCCTCTTCACTGCCATGATGGCCCTCGGAGCTTCGGGCAGCTCTGCTTGGGGCTCTGCCTCGATGTTCTGTACACACAAATGGAGAGCAAGTGCCTGGGAGCTGCCATCAGGCTCAGCTTCTTCCTCAGTTTCAGCCTCAAAATCACACTCATTCAGTCACTTCTTTCTGCTTCCCTACCCACCTCTGCTTCCACTGTAACCTCCTGTCCCGCTGCTGATCTCTGCAGAGGCTCTTTGCTTTCAGGGCCTCTGGCACTCGTGGCCTGCTCAGTCCCAAGAGCTGCGTTTTATGCCCCTCTTCCTGCCCTTCACTCTGTCCCCTGCTGAGTCAGGCTTACCTGGCCATTCTCCAGTGGCTCTTCCACCTGCTGCCCCAGCTGCTCTTCCTGCTCTTGGGCTGGGAACAGCTCTCCCTCAGGCTGGCACGGCCTCCCTGAGAAAACAATCTGCTCCTGCTCTTTCTCTGGATGGACCTGCAGAGAAAGCAAGAGAAGATGGGCTTCAACTTCTCATCCAACATTTGTGGGCCAAGACTCAAAGGCTGATGGGCTCCCACGTTCCCAAAGCTCTGTGCTGCTGCTCTCCTGCCTTGTTCTCTGCCCATGGGGAAGCACAGATTCCAAAGTGACCCTGGCAGTGCAATCAGGGCCCATCTGGCACTGAATCTCCAACAGACTCTTGGGCAGCTGACAGGAAATGTGGGGCATTTCTCAAGGGCCTCCTTCCCCTTCTGCTGTGTCCTGCTTGTCTCTCCATAGTGACTGACAGCCAGCCCTGTCCCACAGCTCCATCCTGGCTCTGCAGGGGCTTCCTGGGTGAGCTCAGCCCTTGGGAGAGACACTGCTGGAGTTCATGTTCTTTTCAGGCCTGCACTGCCACTCCTGCCCCTCTGACATCCACACTCTTGTTAGAAATCCTGCTCATTCAGGAGACAAGGATGTGTGCAATTTGATCCTCTGCTGCAGGTCAGAGAGCCTCTATGGCCACCTCAGGATATGGAAGAGGACCAAGGTGTTTCTCCTCCCTCTTTTGTCAGCTGAGAATTCTGAGTGCCAGTGACGGAGATCCTCAAAAGGCCCCGTCAACAAATTAATTGACGCACCCCTAGGGATGCCAATGAAGGAAGCCATGGGTCATGTAATGCATGTATGACCAAAGTCACCAAAAACCACCTAAACCATGGAATTGTCCCACTTCACTAGGACAGGCAGAAATTTATAGGTTAAACCGGGAGTGTCAGGACAGAAGAGGCAGGAGGAGGAAAACAGCTCTAAGGAGAAAGAACAACCATCTCTAAAGGGGGAAACATCTCTGCCTGCTGAGGATCAGTCAACAGAACATGTCTCTTCTCTTCTCCTGAAAGGGATGCCTTTAGGTGAGCTTTGCACCCCCAATTGCTTTGGAGAAGAGCCGGGAAGAATCAATTATGTAAAAGTTACATGGATAGATAGATGGATAGATGAACAGACAGACCAATAGACAGACAGATAGCTAGATCTCACTATTATAAACTCTCTCAGTATACTTTCTGTCACTACACACATCAACCCTTGGTAGCCAGTTCCCTGATCAGCAGCAATGCTGAACTCGCTCTCCTGTTGCTCCAATAAACCACACTCTTGGGGAATCTGGAGCGTGTCAGTCCTTATGGAATGTGATCAGAGCCAGAGCCCTGCACTGGGAACTGCACTCTTTGTGTATCTGTGCTCAGACAAGTTCTTCTCTTGGTCTCAAACACAGTGACGGTGCTGGCATTGAATCAGAAATGAATCCCAGCTCCTCCCAGCCTCTCTGATCTCTGGAGGACCAGCTTGCAATGCAAGGGCATTGATTTCCTGCTCAATTCCCAAACACAACACATCCTGATCCCTTGGGCTTCCAAAAAGACACGGACACTGTTAACCTGAAAATGATGTGCAAGCCCTGCTGTCTGGCCTGTCACCAGAACAGCTCCTTCTGCACCAACATCCCTGCCCCAAACTACGTGTTCTCATGCAAAAATACTGCATCTTCCAGAACTTCCACCTTGAAAACTAAAAGTCTATCACAATCTCAACCCGTGCTGGAAAAGGACAGGAAATCTGGAGCAAAAAGTGTCTTTGGTTACTGGAGAAAGAGAAAAGAAACAGGTTTTCTCCTCTTAGCAGACCAACAATCCAACAAAGATAAGGTGAAAATGTCACCTCCTCCAGTGTCAAAAGTACTTGGATGCAGGGAGGGGATGTTTGTCAGGGAAAAAGCCCTTGTGGCGAGCAAGGTCATGTAGGGATTTATGGAAGTCTGCCTGCTGGTCCCTCATCAGCCTGCCTTTCTCCAGGCTAAAGCTCCCTCAGCACCTCCTCATTGCACTTGTCCTCCACAGCCTTCCCCAGTGCCCTTCTCCTTCTCTGGACATGCTCCAGCCCCTCAATGACTTTCTGATCAGAGGGACCCAGAACTGGACACAGCACTGGCGCTGTGGACACAGCAGTGCCCAGCACAGGGGGATGGTCACTGCCCTGCTCCTGCTGCCCCACTATTGCTGACACAGGCCAGCAGGCCCTTAGCCTTCTTGGCCACCTGAGCCAACCCAGCCTGGCTCAGCTTCAGCTGCTGTTGAGCGGCACCCCTGGCTGCTTTGGTCCCAGGCAGCTGCCCAGGCACCCAGTTGCACATTTGACTTAAAATACTGCAGCTATCATTTCCAGATGCCTTTCCTCTTCTTAGCAACACAAAACAGCACTCAAGGACTTGCAGCTCTGCCCCCACACTAGGCTCCAATGCAGTTTCCAAAGCTGCAGACTTCACCACAAAACGTATCAAGAGAAACTGGCCACTTGTGGATTTTGCCTCAGAAGAAGGGTTCAGAACTACACAGTTTGTTTCTTTGGCCACACAGGACAAGAATGGCCGGTCACAGCTTCATGGACAACACAATCATCTCCTTGCAGCTTATCAAAAGCCAAAAGACAGGTGGCCTAAAAGACTCTGCAGAAGTGAAGAATTACTCCAGAAAACTGCAGAACACTTCTCCAGGTCATCCAGAGGTTTCCAAAAAGGGACAGCAAACAAAGCAAGCCCTGTGAGCCCCAGAAATGCCGTGTGAGCCCTTGGCCATGGCTTGGCAGAAGCCAAGAGACAGAGCTTCCCTGAGCCAAGCAGCCAGCTGCTCACCCGCAGGCAGCAGCGCTTTGGGGCCTCAGCACGACGGCTCAAAGCCCAATTTCCAGCTGCCACGGGATGGGGGAATGGCTGGGTGCTGGCAGGACTCCAGCACTCAGCATCCTCAGCCAGCAACAGCAAGTGCTGGCTGCTCAGAAACTTGCAGCTCTGCCTTGCACTAAAGACAGCAGCACCCAGCACTGGCACTTACTGTCTGGGCATGGTCAGGCTGGGCTGTGACCACAGCTGGAGGCTCGTGCTCCTTTTGCTCATTTTGCTCCTCTTTGGCCTCTTCTCCAGGAGCAGAGGGAGCCACAGCAGAGTCTGCTCTTGCTTCTGGGCTCTGTGGACAGATGGTGGAGTTAGGGACAGGCAGCTCCCTATCATTTAGAACCTTATTTCTCTTCAGCTCGATTTCTACAACCAGCTCTACCAAGCACAAACCATCAGCTTTGATAGCAATGGGATTCTAAGTCTCTCCAACTAAATTAAAATGGGTTAATTCAGCCAGGCAGAAAATAGCTCTGAATTAGAGTTCACCCTGGCTACTATCAGCAAGTAACGTTCTCTCTACAAATCTGAGCTTTGAGTTCTTTTAAAGCTCTGCAATGGAAAATTCGGAAATAGCCAACAATGCCTTTGCTATTGTTGTTGTAAACATGGAAATGGATCTTCTTTCAGCCCACCCAGCTGGCCCTCTGCACTCTACTGCCACAGGCCAAGCTCACAGTTCCCTGCACAATTCTGAAACACCAGGAACATCAAATGTTCCTTTCTGACTCACCTCAGGTTCAGCACCTCTGAATATACATGTCAGATGACCTGCAGTGGTCAAGGAAAATGAACCAAAATCTGTGAGAAAACTGGAGAGAACCATGGCCTATTTAGAACAGCATCTGAGAAGATCTCTCAGTCTACATTTTCAAAGGTGTCCTGCTTGAGCCAGCAAAGTGAGGAAATGACAGACTCTGCTGCCACAGGCTCTCCCGTGGAGGGAACAGAAGCCCTGCAAATGCTGCCCGCAGCCCCCTGGCTACAGACACCCCGTGTTTTGCTGAAGGTGTTGACAGGAGCTTGAACCAGTGGCATCCTCATGGTCTTTGTGTTTCAATAGCAACCCGGTCACTAAGAAAGAGCAGGGAGACCTACAAAAGCCAGCTCAGGTTCCAGCCAGGGAAAACCTCTACTTACGTGCCAGGTTGGTCAGATAATAGCCGGAATAGCCGATGACATAAATGGTGCAAACGGCAACAGCGAGCTGCTCCATCATTGTAGCACTGCTGTGCCAGTTTGCACACTCTGCTCCACCACAAGAACAAACAAGGCTCCTGTCAGTGTGCAGCTGCCCACTGACAAACGCCTCAAGCAGGAGGATGCTCCTGCACTGAGCAAGCCCAAGAGCTGCTCTGACCCTGAGGCCTTCCGTGCACCAAGGCAACCTTGGGATGTCCCCACGACAATGTGGCATCCATGCCCTGACATCATAAAGCCAATGCTCTGCGCTGCTCTGGGAATTGATGCAGAGCAACCCAACCTTCCCTACAGCAAACACAAAATTGCCTGGCAGGTTCTCCTCTGTCACAAAGTGTCACAAATCCTTTGGTGGGCTGTGGGAAATGGTGCTGAAGGGCTTCAGATTGCCAAAGCTAAAGTGTCCAGGATCAAGGAATAACTTGAGGTTATGGAAGTCCTAGTGCCCACGTTCCATCCCCTCATTTCAAGCTGAAAGCAGAGCTCCACTTCTGACTCTGCTTTTTAATAATGAATGTCAAACTTCAACTAAATTCCCTTAAAGACCCCATGAAGGTTCACACTGTGAGAGCTCACTCGAGGCAGCCCCAACTCCTGCCCTGGTTCAGTCCCTGTCAAGCCCACTGTGTTTTCCAGCTGCTTTGCTCCAGCTCCCCCCAAATCACCATGAATTCCACTGAACTGAAACAAATCCAAATCCTCGTGGGTCGGGACAAGGGCAGGGAGAGGTCACTCAGGGATCACCATCAGGGCCACAACAGCCCGACATGGGGAAATGAACTGAATTTAGGATTGAGCAAATCAGACCAGGAGAATGAGGATTAAAATCAATCTTGAGAAACACCTCCTCCCGCTCCTGAACTTTTCTGTCCAGGCCGCTGCTCGCGGGGCACAGAGAGGGGCCCGGCCGTGTCCCTCCAAACCTCCCTGGGAATCAGCCCAGAGCCCTCAGGCTTCCTTGTGCCCATCCCCGGGGGCCCTTGTCCCTCCCAATGGCTCCCGCGGTTCTCCCAGTCCATCCCAGCCTCTCCCAGCACTGTGTCCATCTCGGCCCTCGGTGTATCTGGCGCCCCTCAGCCAATCAGAGCGCGTCTCTCTGATGACTCATCAGTTGCCGGGCAGATCCACAGAGCCGAGAGCCCCGCGCTGGACTCGGCCACCCAGTGCCGCGCACTTCATTCCCAGTCCCGCCCAGTGCCACCACAGTCCCTCCCAGTGCCACCACAGTCCCTCCCAGTGCCACCACAGTCCCGCCCAGTGCTTCATCTCCAGTCCCGCCCAGTGCCACCACAGTCCCTCCCAGTGCCACCACAGTCCCGCCCAGTGCCACCACAGTCCCTCCCAGTGCCACCACAGTCCCGTCCACTCCTTTTTAGCCATTCCCTGTCTATTCCTAGTTCATTCCCACTTCACTCCCAGACCTCCACGCCCTCATCCAGTGTCCCAGTATCCACTCTCATCTCTTTCAGTGCCATCCCAGTCCCATCCAGTCCATTCCCAGTCCCTCCCAATGCCACACCACTCCTCTCCACTCTCTCCCAGTTCCCCCAGCGTGTCCATCTCGCTGGTGCCCTCCAGCTCCCAGCCCGGCCCCGGCCGCCTGCTCTGCTCCCTGATGGATTTCTCCCCTGCCCACATCCAGCTGAGCTGCTCCCAGGGCCAGCAATAGCTCTCGGGCCACGTGCTGGCCACTGCCGTGCTCCCCAGCGGGGACTGTAGCCAACAGCTCCTGGTGCTGCTGGAAACCGCCCCCG